CAATATTCTAATTCTGGGCACAATACTGGAATCAGCTAGTAACCCTAAATTAGCTTGGTTCCAACAGTTGCCCAGTTCACAGAAAACCTTCTTATTTAGTTTACTTGGGACAGTTTTGCTTATTTTGCTTTACCGTTGTGGAGTATATTGCTGTTGTACTCTTTGTGTAGGAATGCAGGATAAGCCTGTTATGTTGTCTTAAACTGAACACTTTTTCATCTTCCAGATATCACCTTTTGTTGGAGTTATGAATAGCTCTCACCATATTGATGCTTTCTGACTGAGCTCCTCTCTGAACCCTTGAATACAAGAAACCCTAAGAGTCAGGCAGCAATATCATCGCCCCTATTCAGTCTGAAAAAGTTACAGAAGATGGATCTTTATTCATTTGTAACCCCTAGGATTAAGGGCTCTCCAATAAAAGGGAGGGGAGAAGTGTCAGAGGTGTTTGAACCAGAGCAACTCCATCTTGAATAGGAGTTAGGTGAAATAAGGCTGAGACCTACTGGGCTGCATTCTCATTAAGACAATCTTTTTTTGTTTTATGTTTTTTTGGGGGAGGGTGTTTTTTGAGATGAAGTCTCTCTCTGTTGCCTAGGCTGGGGTCCAGTGGCACAATCTCAGCCCACTGCAACCTCTGCCTCCCAGGTTGTAGCGATTCTCCTGCCCGGCTTTTTTTTTTTTTTTTTGAGACGGAGTCTCGCTCTGTTGCCCAGGCTCAATGCAAGCTCCACCTCCCAGGTTCACGCCCTTGTCCTGCCTCAGCCTCTCAAGTAGCTGGGACTACAGGCGCCCACCACCATGCCCAGCTAATGGTTTGTATTTTTAGTAGAGATGGGGTTTCACCGTGTTAGCCAGGATGGTCTTGATCTCCTGACCTCATGATCCACCCTCCTGGGCCTCCCAAAGTGCTGGGATTACAGGCGTGAGCCACCATGCCCGGCCAGTTTTTTGTATTTTTAGTACAGATGGAGTTTCACTCTGTGAGCCAGGATTGTCTCGATATCCTGACCTCTGCCTGCTGCAGCCTCCCAAAGGGCTGGGATTACAGGCATGAGCCACCGCGCCCGGCCCTTGTTTTGTTTTTTGCGACTGTCTCACACTGTCGCCCAGACTGGAGTGCAGTGGCATGATCTCGGCTCACCACAACCTCTGTCTCTAATGCTCAAGCAATTCTCCTGCCTCACCCTCCCGAGTAGCTGGTATTACAGGCATGTGCCACTACTGCCTGGCTAATTTTTGTATTTTTAGTAGAGACAGGGTTTCACCATGTTGGCCAGGCTGGTCTCGAACTCCTGACCTCAAGTGATCCACCCACCTTGACCTCTCAAAGTGGTGTGAGCCACCGTGCCCAGCCAGTTAAGGCATTCTTAGTCACAGGATGAGATAGGAGGTCAGCACGAGATACAGATCATAAAGACCTTGCTGATAAAACAGGCCACAATAAAGAAGCCGGCTAAAACCCCACCAAAAGCAAGATGCTTTTGGTGACAAGAGGACAAGAGTGACCTCTGGTTGTCCTCTCTGCTACACTCCCACCAGTGCGATGCCATGGCAGTTTACAAATGCCATGGCAATGTCAGGAAGTTACCCTATATGGTCTAAAAAGAGGAGGTGGCCGGGTGCAGTGGCTCACACCTGTAATCCCAGCACTTTGGGAAGCTGAGGCCGGCACCTCATGAGGTCAGGAGATCGAGACCATTCTGGCTAACACAGTGAAACCCCGTCTCTACTAAAAATGTAGACAAAAAAAATTAGCCGGGCTTGGTGGCGGGCGCCTGTAATCCCAGCTACTCAGGAGGCTGAGGCAGGAGAATGGCGTGAACCCAGGAGGCGGAGCTTGCAGTGAGCTGCGATCACGCCACTGCACTCCAGCCTGGGCGACAGAGGGAGACTCTGAGACTCCATCTCAAAAAAAGAAGAGGAGGCATGTTTAGCATATAATCACCATAAAAATACTGCCCATGGAGTAGCCGTTCTTTATTCTTTTACTTTCTTTTTTAGCCAGAGACTCCTTTGTCACCAGGCTGGAGTACAGTGGCGTGATCTTGGCTCACTGCAGCCTCCGCCTCCCAGGTTCAAGTGATTCTCCTGCCTCAGCCTCCCGAGTAGCTGGACTACAGATGCCCGCCACCATGCCCAGCTAATTTTTGTATTTTTATTAGAAACGGGGTTTCACCATGTTGGCCAGGCTGGTCTCGAACTGCTGACCTCGTGATCTGCCCGCCTCAGCTTCCCAAAGTGCTGGGATTACAGGCATGAGCCACTGCGCCCAGCCTTCCTTTACTTTCTCAATCGACTTGCTTTCACTTAAAACAACAAAAAACAAACAAAAAAACCCACAGCATTTTGAGGGGAACTATGTGCCATTCTCCCAGTACCTTGTCAATGCTGTTTCTGGCAGGTGGTCAATACTTGCCTGGTGGCCCATCGACCAGACAAGAGATGAAGCCTGATACACCAGAAAACAGTCTGGGCACTTCTGACTCCTTGACTCCCAACAACTAACAATATTCTCCCTTGCTGGCACACTACTAACAATATTCTCCCTTGCTGGCTGTACCTCCACTTTCCCTATACATAAACTGAGGAAACAAAATCTGTCTCACTCGCCTTCTAGGATTTTGGAGATGAATAAAATAAATCCCAGTGCTTTGGGAAGCCAAAGCAGGAGGATCACTTGAAGCCAGGAATTCGAGCCCAGCTGGGACAACACAGAGGGACTCTGTCTCTACAAAAATAAAAAAATAAAAAAATTAACAGGGTGTGGCGGCCCACACCTGTAGTCCTAGCTATTCAGGAGGCTAAGGCGGGAGGATCGCTTGAGCCCAGGAGTTTGAGGCTGCGATGAACTATGATCACTGCACTCCAGCCTGGGTGACTGAGCAAGTCCCTGTCTCTAAAAATAAAAATAAATAAAAAATAAAAAAAGATGGAAAAGAATCTAAATATATGTCAGTAGGGGATGGAATAAAGTGCTGAGCAAGACCCTGTCTCTAAAAATAAAAATAAATAAAAAGATTGAAAAGAATCTAAATATATATCAATAGGGGATTGGATAAAGTATGTTTGTTTGTTTTTTTGTTTGAGATGGAGTTTTGCTCTTGTTGCCCAAGCTGGAGTACAATGGTATGATCTCGGCTCACTGCAACCTCCACCTGCCGGGTTCAAGCCATTCTCTTGCCTCAGCCTCCTGGGTAGCTGGGATTACAGGCGTGTGCCACCACACTCGGTTAATTTTTTGTATTTTTAGTAGAAATGGGGTTTCACCATGTTAGCCAGGCTGGTCTCGAACTCCTGACCTCAGGTGATCCACCCTCCTCGGCCTCCCAAAGTGCTGGGATTACAGACGAGAGCCTCCATGCCCAGCCTGTTTGTTTTCTAAAGAGACAGGGCCTCACTCTGTGGTCCAGGCTGGAGTGCAGTGGCGCAATCACGGCTCACTGCAGCCTCGACCTCCTGGGCTCAAAAGATCCTCCCACCTCGGCTTCCCGAGTAGCTGGGACCACCAGTGGGCACTACCAGGCCCAACTGATTAAAAATTTTTTTTTCTTTTTTTCTCTGCACAGACAGGGGTCTCGCTATTTTCCCCAGGCTGGTCTAGAACTCCAGGGCTCAAGGGATCCTCCCACATCAGCTTCCCAAAATGTTGGGATTACAGGCGTGAGCCACTGCGCCTGGCCAAAACCTTTCAATAAGTGTGTGTTTTAATAATTCATGAAGTGCTTGAGCTCTTGACAACAAAGTATTCTATTATCCAAGAGTAATTAATTACTTTTGTTTATTTAAGAATTTGGATGGGTCAGTTTTTTGTCCTTACTGTCATCAAAGCAGGTGTGAAAATACATGTCTAAGAACATCTCCACTGGATTGGGTGGACCAAGTGATTAAATGAAAATATGATCCTGGATGGCCAAAATTTTGTTACATTGTTGATAGTAAGCCATAGATTGTCCCTTTCCAAAGACAATGGGGTGGGCGGACCCCCTAGAGAGAAAGCCCTTTCGGGAAAAGGGAGAGGAATGGGATGACCTCTGGCTCAAGGAAGTATGTGAGAACAGGAGACAGCCAACGGAAAGGAGAAATGCAATGGAAGAATCTACGTTTCTTTTAGTATTGCTCAAGTCCCCACTGGGCGGCCAGCTGTACAAACAACTGTGAAAGAAGCGGAGTCGAGGCCGGGAGCGTGGCTCACGCCTGTAATCCCAGCACTTTGGAAGGCCAAGGTGGGCGGATCACCTAAAGTGAGGGGTTCGAGACCAGCCTGGCTAACATGGTGAAACCCCGTCTCTATTAAAAATATACAAAAATTAGCCGTGCACGGTGGCATACGCCTGTAATCCCAGCTACTCGGGAGGCTGAGGCAGGAGAATCGCTTGAACCCGGGAGGCGGAGGTTGCAGTGAGCTGGAGGTTGCAGTAAGCCGAGATCGTGCCACTCACTCTAGCCTGGGTGACAGAGCGAGACTCAGTTTAAAAAAAAAAGCAAAAAAGCAGAGGCAGGACCCGTACTGCTCTCGTTCAGATTACCGAGTTCACTAGTTATCTTTCAGGTCATTATTAGGGTCAGAGAATGAGGGTCGCCGTTTCCCTCTCTATCATAAACCCTACAGTTCCTCACACCAATGTCTGTCTGAAAGATGGGAACCAATTTGGGGCAGGGAGCCAAACTCAGCCTCTGGCGACAGGCCTCGGCTCCGGCTCCGCCCCGCCCCCTAGTGGTCACCTCCGCGGCCTGGGCTTCCCTTGGTCCAGCTCCCCAGCCCCAGGTCTTACACCCACCCCTTCTTCACCTCCTTCCAGTCCCCTCCCCTTCCTCCCGACAGCATCCCCTTCCTCTCCGTCCCCCTCCCCCAGCTGCCCCCGCTTCGGTGACGGGGAGCCGCGCGGTCCGCACCCAGAAGTCCGAGGCTGGGCTGGGAAGCGGTGTGACTTCTCACGGCACTTTCCTTTCCAGCCCTGACGCCCCCCGGAGTCCACACATCTCTTCTTTCCCCTCACCTCCTCGTCCGGGACGCTGCCGGCCGCGCTTCCACGGAGCCCGCCAGTTTAGTCCCGTTTCCTTCTCTAGTTAAGACTGCCTGTCAAGGACGGTTACTTTTTGCCCTTTTCATGTGTGCATGTTTTGGGGGCCTTTAACCCCCCCCTCGTGGAGAAACAGAGGCAAGGAAATGGCGGACCCGGAAATGAAGACGCCGCGAGTAAGATTTCTGGCGGAGGAATCTGTGAAGGGAAAATGATCAGAAAACCCATACTCCCATTCGAACAGAAAGATGATGCACCCCCGAGGCTCATCGCATATCTCCTGAGGGACTTCTGAGGTGGAAAAGTGCGTCACCGAGGCATCCTAGGCAGGACTATTTGACGGGGCGGAGGACTGCTGGTTACGTGTCTTGCGCGTCTGAATAGTTCCAGCAGGGGACGGAGCCCGGCGCTCGTGTTGGCGCCAAGAACCTGGAGAACCGCTGAGAGAGACTCGGATCGTGCATCAGTCTTGCAGTTTGCGTCTTAACTCTTGGCTGCTTCTTCCGGGTCCTGAGCGGCCAGGTTTAGGTTGACAGGAAAGCTTCACTTCCTTATCCCAAACCTCGGCTGCAGCTGTTTGGGACGTTCCTGGCTTTGTTTGTGAATTGGGTTCTGGTGCCTGATGGACACATTTTTCCAGTTACAGCCCGAATGTAAGGACCCCAGAGCCAAGCTGTCCGTGCGAACAGTGAAACAAATAACTGAGTCATTTCTTTTCTTTATTATTATTTTTTGAGACGGAGTCTCATTTCGTCCGTCGCCCAGGCTGGAGTGCAGTGACGCCATCTCGGCTTACTGCAACCTCCGCCTCCCGGGTTCAAGTGATTGACCTGCCTCAGCCTCTCCCCACGCTGGGCTAATTTTTGTATTTTTAGTAGAGACGGCGTTTCACCGTGTTGGCCAGGCTGGTCTCGAACTCCTGACCTCAAGTGATTCGCCAGCCTCGGCTTCCCAAAGTGCTGGGATTACAGGCGTGAGCCACCGCGCCCGGCCTGAGTCATTTCTTTTTGGAGGCCTGCAAGAGGATGGAACATGAGTTTGCAAATCCATTTAGTCATTTTATTTACCAGTTGATCCCTGTCCCCACCCACCAATTGCCATGACTGAAGGGCTCTGAAGGGGCCTTTCAAAACTCAGTAAAAATAGAAAAGGACGCACTGCTTATCCTTCGCACTGCTTATCCTTCCTGGCCCCATTCTCCGTTAGACTGGGACCGTCTTTAGATGTGGGGTTTTCATGACCTAGAGGGAGGATTTGCCTTTTTTTCTCCCCCCTGGGGACTTCTCTAGGTCATCCTTATTTATGATACACTGCCCAGTGCTGTCCTATCCATATTGGTATTTACAGTTTCTCTTGAGAGTTGGAGTCTTGTCTCATTCCCGTTTACATTCTTTTGGCTCAGTGCTTTCCTATAGTAGGCACACAAAAACCAGAAATTAAGCAGATAACGTATTTGAGTGAATTCGTTTATCTTCTTAGGCACCTAGGAGAATTATTACCTGAAATATGTTGGTAGTCAGTGGGCAAGCAGAAGAGTGGTTGTAGCTGTCTCCCTACTTTTCTCATTTTGATTTTGCCCTTTCATTATTTATCTGTTCAATGCGACGTTCACCATTTAATGTCTAAATGCTATTCAAATCATTCTTCCTCTAAGTTGAATATTATTATAGAAAGATAAAATGAGGCCGGGCGCAGTGGCTCACCCCTGTAATCCCAGCACTTTGGGAGGCTAAGGCGGGCAGATCACCTGAGGTCAGGAGTTCGAGACCAGCCTGGCAATATGGTGAAACCCCATCTCTATGAAAAATACAAAAATTAGCCAGGCCTGGTGGCAGGCCCCTGTAATCCCAGCTACTTGGGAGCCTGAGGTGGGAGGCCCACTTGACCCTGGTGGGTGGAGGTTGCAGTGAGCAGTGATTGCGCTGCTGCATTCCAACCTGGGTGACAGAGCAGGACCCTGTCTCAAAAAATAAAAAATAAAAAGATGTATAAGCTGAATGTGAAAGCAAGGCTAATTTCTCAGATTTCTATGGCTTCCCTTGTGAAGAGAGAGAAAACCAGACTCCAGTCCTGGGATTGAATGTTTTTATTAAATAAATGAGTTAAATGGCAGCACAAATCAGCAACAATAATTTTGGAAGGATTGGGGACAAGATGCAGAGTCAGAATGTAATTGTTCATTTCAGGGTCTCAATGTAGCTGAAGAACTGTGCCCACTGATTAGTTTTACATATTGCAAATGCAGGAGGTAAGGCTAAAATACTAAGGACTTATGCCATTCAGAAGATTGTATTGAAACCTTAAAAACTATAATAATAGTAGGAATGCATATTAAGATTTGATAACTTTCTTTAGCTAGAGTTTTCAACCCACAGGAGCAAAGTTGTAGAGTGAGTAGGGTTGAAGAAGGGATACTCTTGAGAAAAGAAATTAGCTGCTTCTAAAATGATTCAGTTATTTTCCCTATTTTCATTTTCCATAATATTTCCTCCTGTTTTATACCTCCAACTACCCTCCTGATTTCTCTGAGGAAGAAAAAGAATATAAGAAAGAGCAGGATCAAAAAAAAAAAAAAAAAAAAAAAAGCATGAGACTTAATCACTTTAGCCTTTCATAGCAGATAACTTCAGATTAAAACTTCCAAGGTTTTCATCACCCCTTGAAGAAATATTTGTATTTACTGGCCTGGAGCAGGAAATTAGGAAGGTTTAAAGAATCTCTGAAGCTGATTAAAATACAGTCAAAAATCAGTCTTCCATTTTGCACTACTATACTACTTTCAGGTGTCCCCAGTCAGGCCTAGTTTCTGGAGTTAATATTTGGGGGGGAAGGAGGAATCCCTGTGACCCAGTACTCTACTGCTTGAACCATTTACTTTGTGACTTGAGGGCTTTTGAGAGAAATGGAGTAGACATAAATAAATACATAGAACTCAACTCTGGCAGATTCATCAGCACCACCAACACAATAGAGAAGATTAAAATGGGAAAGGAGTGGAAAGGAAGGGGCTTGAGAGGGAAGACAATGAGGGCAAGGTGGTGGGAGAGAGAAGTCTTGGCCTTAGAGCAAGTCCAGTTCGAAGGAGTGGATGCTGGCAATGGGAGCTCTCCAGAAGTTGAAGGTGCTGTACTCAAGGAGGCCATCACCTTCAGGGTTTTTCTCCTGGTCTGCTGTAGTTGCTGGCCCGATCATTTTGCCAACGCTGCTGTCTTTTATCTTGTAGGTGGCTGTATCTGACAGACCCAGGCCTTCCAGCTCCGACAGATCCAGTTCTGGGATGGGCATCCTCCAGAAAAGAAAGGAGCTGTACTGGCTACTCACAGGGTCCCTCATAGCTTCCTAGAAAGAAACCACTTGTCAGTTTTCATGCTACAGCAACTTCTTTGTGGCCCATGGCCTTTCCTTGCATAGATACTCCACATACCGGTAAAAAGGAATTTCTTTTTAAAAATTGTATATCTTCCAAGCCCACCAGTAAAAAGGAATTTGGGGAGGAAAAAAAAAGAAGCTCAATATCCCCTATTACCTCTGGAGATAATCCAAGTTCCCTTGGACAAGCTTCAGAAACCCTTTATTATGAATTTCTACTATTTTCTAAACTTCTTCCCATTTGGAATGACTTATTCACCATCTATTGCATCAAATTGATCTTGGGTCTGATTTTCAAGGCCTTCCAAAATCTAGCCCGTTCTTCCCAGCGGTGGTATAGCCTCTGTTAGAGTTATGCTCATTCCTGTCTTGCTTAACTCTCTCCATTCTCCACCTTAAAATACTTTCCATGTTTCAGCCAGGTGCGGTGGCTCATGCCTGTGATCTCAGAACTTTGGGAGGCAGAGTGGGTGGATCACTTGAGGCCAGGAGTTCAAGACCAGCCTGTCCAACATGGGGAAACCCTGCCTCTACTAAAAATACAAAAAATTAGCCAGGCATGGTGGCTCATGCCTGTAGTTCCAGCTACTAGGGAGGCTGAGGCACAAGAATTGCTGGAATTCAGCAGGGTGAGGTTGCAGTGAGCCTTCCAACCTGAGCAACAGAGCAAGATTCTGTCAAAAAAAAAAAAAAAACTTTCCACATTTCAGGACTCCATTCAAGAGCTCAGTGGCTCACACCTGTATTCCCAGCACTTTGGGAGGCTAAGGCAGGCAGATGGCTTGAGACCAGGAGTTCCAGACCTGCCTGGGCAACATGGCGAAACTCCGTCTACAAAAAATACAGAAAATTAGCCGGGCCTGGTGATGCACGCCTGTAGTCCCAGCTACTTGGGAGGCTGAGTGGGAGAATCACTTGAGCCTAGGAAGCAGAGGTTCCAGTGGGCTGAGATTGTGCCACTGCACTCCAGCCTGGGGAATAGAGTGAGACCCTGTCTCAAAAACAAAAAAACCTCCAAGTCTATAGAGGAACCCCCATTCCCCTAGCCCAAACTCCTATTATACTTAAAAATACTTGACTTCCTCCTCCTGACTTTGGTTTAATAGCTCATAGTATGTGTGAAAAGGCCTTCCATGACTTTTCTGCTATTTTCCTTCTTGCCTTCTAAACCCTACTATAAACTCACCTCTTCCAGATAACTTCCTTAAACTTACTCAGCTTCATCTACTCTATTTCCTCTAGCATCCCCCCCAACACCCTGTAGAGTTTTACCTAACTCCATCAGTTTGGGATTATAGATCACTGTTACTGTATTTTATGTATAGGGATGGTGTTATTGCTTTCTGAATGGGGAAACGCAAAGGGCAGTAGAGAGCAAGCTAGAATCTGAGAAGAAGAAAAAGCTCTTTGACAAACTGACTCCTTTTCTTACAACCAGACTATGTATAAAAAACTGCTCAGTCCCTGAGTGTTTGGTAGAGCTATCTTGCAATTTAAAAAGCTAAAGGAAATTTTATGAAATATTAACTCAAAAGGCCTAAAATCTCTATGTTATTGACCCAGAGACATGTACATGGGGTACAAAATATATTCAAGAAAGACATGCATGCAAGCATATGTGGCATTAAAATCAAGTCAAGAACATAAAGTAAGACTACACAGAAAATTGAAGTTAAAGTGCTATTCACTAATGTAAATAGTAAATAAATTTTTGATTTAATGTATAAATTTAATTATCAAATACTCCAAATTTTGCAAAAGTTTCCTTTTTTGGGTAGCTTCCCCTTCCCCTCCACAAATGCTCTCTACCCCTACTTCATCTATTTTTACATCTATTATTATCTTAAATGGTATCATTTACTTAAAGGGTTTCGACAGTACCTTGTACCACAATATATGTTCAATAAATGCTTCCCACTAACCTTCATTTTAAATTATCCAGCTATTTTAGGCAAAGGCAATTTCTAATTATCACTCTGTTCTTAGAGATACATGATTAGCAAATATATAGATTAGAAAGATACATCTCTTGGAGCCACACAGACACACCCAAATATCCTTTGTCCAGACCCTTTGTGGGCATCCAAGGCCTACTCAACAGGGCCTTGCTGTGTCATGCTGCCACTACGGGGAAGGGGGAAGGACAAGGTGGTGGTAGAGGGGAGCAGAAGCTCTCTGGCATCTCATAATGTGTGCCTCAGTCAGAGCTTGGATTTTCCTATTAGCATTCCCCCACCAATTCCACTGAGCTGCAAATAATCATTCTTTTCCAGAATCTGTCCCCATACCTAGGAGATTCCCCAAGGATAAAAACCAGTCTACCTTCTCTGTACACGAGTGCTGGGCTTTCTACACAAAGACATTCAAGGCTGCTGATTAACTTTCCCTCACTATTTAATACCTTGCCATTCCCATATATTAGCCCACAGGTAAGCCTTAACAATCCATTTCTCTCTAGCTTACTCTCCTTCAGAACAAAACCCAGGTGCTAGAAGAACCTTCCTGGCCAGGCGCAGTGGCTCACGCCTATAATCCTAGCACTTTGGGAGGCAGAGGCAGGCAGATCACGAGGTGAGAAGCTCAAGACCAGCCCAACCAACATGGTGAAATCCTGTCTCTATTAAAAATACAAAATTAGCCAGGTGAAGTGGCGCATGCCTGTCATCCCAGTTATTTGGGAGGCTGAGGCAGGAAAATTGCTTGAACCTGGGAGACGGAGGTTGCAGCGAGGCGAGATCTTGCCATTGCACTCCAGCCTGGGCAACAAGAGTGAAATTCCATCTCAAAAAAAGTAATAATAAATAAGTAACTTTTCTATGCTGTAATAGGGGTCTCTTTTCTCTGATCCCAATGCTGGAGTATACTGATGATAATGAGAGCAAATGGATTGGAAATCCATTTGGATTTAAAGTTCAGATTGGAAGAAGGTCTTTTAACAGAATCAGATACTCTTCTGTGCATTAGTGGATCTATCACTTTCTCTACTCATTCTACCCAAGCCGTGCCTGATATTATATGACTATTACAGCTGCCTACAGCCTCCATCCTGCTACTTACTAGCCAAGCGTCAAGAAACATTAGTTGTGGCCGGGCGCGGTGGCTCAAGCCTGTAATCCCAGCACTTTGGGAGGCCGAGGTGGGCGGATCACGAGGTCAGGAGATCGAGACCATCCTGGCTAACACGGTGAAACCCCGTGTCTACTAAAAATAAAAAAAATTAGCCGGGCGTGGTGGCGGGGTGCCTGTAGTCCCAGCTACTCGGGAGGCTGAGGCAGGAGAATTATGTGAACCCGGGAGGCAGAGCTTGCAGTGAGCTAAGATAGCACCACTGCACTGCAGCCTGGGTGAAAGAGCAAGACTCCGTCGCAAAAAAAAAAAAAAAAAAAAAAAAAAGCATTAGTCGAAATGTTCCCAAAGGAGCAGAAAGAACATTCTACCGCCTCCAAAAACAACCCCAAGTTTCAAAAGGCCTTTCTCCAACACACCCTATTGGGTCTCACCAGGTCAGAGACTCCTAAGTGATGGCCTTAAATGGTTCCAAAATGTTCCAGTATAGTGTGAAATGACTGTACCAAGGCAGAAAAAGAAAGTGTTAATCTAGAACACAGTGATACGTGAGAGTGTGGGGGCTTCAGGAATGGTGAGTGGGTAGGCTAGGATGTTTTTAATGTTAAAAGTGAATTCTGCGTTGTTCTTTTTCTTCTTAGTTTAAGTTCCAAAATAAACCCTGGGAACTGAGCATTACTCAGCAGAGAAGCTGCTTAGAAGGAGGGTGATGCAGGGATTGGAGCAGGGTGGGGGAGCATGTTGGAAAGGTGAGGTCATCATCCTATGATATTCAACTCTGATAATCTCCATAGTACTTTGCTGAGATGTGCACAGAAAGAGAGGTAAAAAAAAAAAATGGTTGTATCCATTAACCAACCTCCCCCTGCTTAAATCTGGGACTATAGAGATCCTAAGAAGCATACCCTAGGAGTCAGTACTGTTACGGACTTGTGGCTACAGGGATTCTTACTGTTACCAGTTATTTCCCCAGCTAGCTGGGTTGTTTTCTCTCTCCTCCCTGACAAGTCTTCTCCAGAACGAGCTTAGTATAATGCAAGGCACATTATAGGCTCTTTGAAAAATAGAATCATGGGGCTAGGTGCAGTGGCACACACCTGTAATCGCAGCACTTTGGGAGGCCGAGGTGGGTGGATCACAAGGTCAGGAGTTCAAGATCAGCCTGGCCGAGATAGTGAAACCCCGTCTCTACTAAAAATACAAAAATTAGCTGGGCACGGTGGCAGGTGCCTGTAATCCCAGCTACTCGGAAGGCTGAGGCAGGAGAATCGCTTGAACCCGGGAGGTGGAGGTTGCAGTGAGCCAAGATCGCACCAATGCATTCCAGCCTGGGCGACAGAGCGAGACTCCAACTAAAAAAAAAAAAAAAAAAGAATCATGGGAGGAAAAAATCACAGAATTTTAAAACTAGAAGACATCTTAGAAATTAATGGGAAGACTTCCAGCCAGTTTCTGTAGAATCCAGGTCTCATAATTCCCAATCTGATCCCTTTTTGTGTTGTACATGGATAGTTGCCAACAGTTTTATATAAACCTATACCAGTATTCCCAAAACTTAAAATAATTCTTAGTTGCTGAAGAATAGATATTCCGTAGGTTAGGTGATTATTCCTATAATTGTGATCTGAATGGGGAAAAGCAAAGGGCAGTAGAGAGCAAGCTAGAATCTGAGAAGAAGAAAAAGCTCTTTGACAAACTGACTCCTTTTCTTACAACCAGACTATGTATAAAAAACTGCTCAAATAGTCCCTGAGTGTTTGGTAGAGCTATCTTGCAATTTAAAAAGCTAAAGGAAATTTTATGAAACATTAACTCAAAAGGCCTAAAATCTCTATGTCATTGACCCAGAGACATGTACACAGGGTACAAAATACATTCAAGAAAGACATGCATGCAAGCATATGTGGCATTAAAATCAAGTCAAGAACATAAAACTAAGACTACACAGAAAATTGAAGTTAAAATACTATTCACTAATGTAAATAGTAATGACATTTTTGATTTAATATAGTATGGATTTAATTATCAAATACTCCAAATTTTGCAAAAGTTTCCTTTTTTGGCTAGCTTCCCCTTCCCCTCCACAAATGCTCTCCACCCCTACTTCATCTATCTTTACATCTATCATTATGTTAAACGGTATCATTTACTTAAAGGGTTTCGACAGTACCTTGTACCACAACATATGTTCAATAAATGCTTCCCACTAATCTTCATTTTAAATTATCCAGGTATTTTAGGCAAAGGCAATTTCTAATTATCACTCTGTTCTTAGAGATACATGATTAGCAAATATATAGATTAGAAAGATACATCGCTCTCAGAGGCACACAGACACACCCAAATATCCTTTGTCCAGACCCTTTGTGGGCATCCAAGGCCTACTCAACAGGGCCTTGCTGTGTCATGCTGCCACCATGGGGAAGGGGGAAGGACAAGGTGGTGGTGGTGGTAGAGGGGAGCGGAAGCTCTCTGGCATCTCATAATGTGTGCCTCAGTCAGAGCTTGGATTTTCCTATTAGCATTCCCCCACCAATTCCACTGAGCTGCAAATAATCATTCTTTTCCAGAATCTGTCCCCATAGCTAGCTCCTGTGGGCTATACCGATTTCACTATGGAATCAGGCAGTTCTCCAACACAGAGGCCCCCACCTTTCCTACCCCAGGCTGCCTCTTTCTTTGGAGCAAAGATTTGAGGTGGAGTGAAAGAGATTGTCCAAAGAAAGGTCAGGATTACACTGAACATTATCCCATATAACCCCCTCCCAAACTCCCCCCTACAGAGAAACATAGAACACTACAGAAAAAAATTGCAAGTATAGGGAAGTAGAGGGCAGAGAGATACAGTAGGACTAAAGATTCATCACATAGCTGGTAGAACAAATTATGGTTTGAAAAGGAAGATAAGTAGACTGAAGATATTAAATACACAGGACAATAAATTACAGAAAAGGATACTTGAAATAAGGAGGTAGGTGCTGAGAAATAACTACATGTAAATTGTTAGAAATTAATGGGCTGTACAAGGTAACAAGGCAAGGATGCTGTGAAGAAATAACTACCCATTGTTCATAGCGCCCCCTTCTCTCCTCTTCAGCTGTCCCCCACCTTATGTGGGGTCTTTCAATCTAACCATAAGCAGCCGCTCTTCTATCTTTGCAGCCCCCTGCCCCCCTCCCTCAGTTTGGTTTACCTGTTATCAATCAATTACTGGCGTGTTCCAAAGATGGAGGGAGTGCCTCGGGGGCTCCGGGATCTGCGCCGGGCTGGAGAAATACAAAGCTGTTGGGGCTTTGACGGCTTTGTCTTCTCACTCCTTTTCCCTCTTCAGTGACTGAGTCTGTCAGTTAGCTCTCCCCCTGCAATGCAGCCCCTCCTAAGAAGGGCGGAAGGATTCCCCGCCCCCTCCTGCCTGACTCGGCTAATTCAAATGATAGGTTCCAGAACACTTGAGGGAAAGAGACGATTAAAGCGTCTCCGTAGGCTCATTGGTCTGAGCTATTATTCCCGATCTCCTCCAGCATCCCCATGCTGACTAGGGGCGCAATGAATGAGCAGTTAATTGCCCTCTAATTTTAGGTCCTCTAATTTATGGACTTGAAATCTTAACTCTAGACTACAATGGAAAGTAGTGTTCCTTTCTTCTACAATTTAAGGACTCCAGGTTACAAGGTATTTTTAAGAATCATATTTTTCCACCCGTTCTCCCAATCCCTGATCCTCCCGACTCGCCTCTCTACCCTCACAATGGGTAAATAAACCTAGTCCTATTCTATTTTGGGTAGAGCACAGAAGAGATTTGGGGTGGGGGGGCGTGCTTCTGCGAATCACTGAACTTGGTTAGGTCTCGGGGTTTGGGGGGCTCCGCTTCGTTTTGCCCCGAAATGCCTGGCGCGCAAAGGGAACGTGAGATTTCGGGGGCCCCAGCTTGGGTGCCAGGCCCTCATCTAGGTGTCCGCATTCTCCGGTTCTCCCCTCAGGGGCGGCGGCCTTGGGGGGCTGCAGAGGCACCCTCCCACGCCTCGCACAATGCAGTGCCTCCGCAGTCCAGAGGGGAGCTGTGCGCTCGGCTCCGAGCCGGACGGGTTTCGTAATCGCGTCGCCGCCGCTTCCGCCCTCAGCCGGCCCCACCTCTGCCGGCTCGTCCTGGGCTCCCCCACCGGGCCGCAGAGCTAGCCCGGGAAGCCCACACTGGCGGCCACGGAGCAGAGCCCCTCACCCCCGCCAGCTGTAGCTGAACGTCTGGATACCGGAGAAGTTCAGGTGAGGCCGTGCAGTTCGTTCCCCGGCCCGCCCGCCGCGCCGGCAGGGCCAGGCGGAGACACACCGGATGCGGGGTGTGGGGAAGGCGGATGTCTTGGGCTGCAGAGATGCTGGGGCGTTGGGAACGGGGTGCGCGCCCGGGGTGGCCATCCTCATCCACCCTCCTGGGGTGCGCAGGCTGAGGCCGCTGAAGAGTAGAAGGAAAAGAAGGAACTGGAATGTTGGGGTGGGGGTGGGAAGGAGAGGGTCCGAAAGATTCCCAGGGAGGTCCCAATCCGGTTAAGGGTTGGGAAGAGCAGAGAACTTCTGGGTAGAGTTGGGTAGTGGGGGGAGACAGATATGGAATCTGTGTGATTGAATATACTTGGGGAGGGGAGGCTTAGGGCCTAGCCCTCTTTCCTCTTAAGCCCCCAGAAGACCTTTCCTGGGGAAGGGGAAGGTTGGGGCTGGGCCTGTCACTTGGCTGAAATATGGAGTCCACTCCACTTCTCCAGAGCCCCTCCTAAGCCCTCCATATCTAGGGGTCTCCACACAGGGACCAGCTGCTGCCCCGGGCTTCTAGCCAGAATTGCCCATTCCATTCTCTCGATTCTTTCTTTCTCTCCAGCTGCTTCATGTGAGGGCTTGTCAGGCCGCGGGTTGGAGGCCTTAGGGCCAGAGGCGGTGGGACCGGGTGAACCGGTTTGGGGCCCGAACGGGACCAGAGAACTAGCCTGTACATCCTTCCTCCCTGGCACCTCTTTCCTAACCCTTCTGCTCACCTCCCAACAGCTTTGAGACCCTCAAGTCCTAGTGTGATCTTCGTGGGGGTGGGGGGTGGCTTTCCCGGTTCCATATTTCACTCTTGCCATTTGGAACTCAGAGAGGCCGAGTTCTGAGCACCAAGGACGTGGCCTTATGCGGTCTAATCCTCATCCCTCCTGTTGATTTCTCAGCCCCTTCCCTACCCACTGTGGGGTTGGATTCGGTGGCTCTTCCGCCTGGGCTGACCAGCTCAGGACTTCATTTTTCCTCAACTCACTCTCTTCTGCCTGCTTTAAAGAAGAGTGGCCGCCAGTGGCTCTTACTTCCTTTTTTGGCTTTGTTCCCATCCCCCCTTCCCTGTGCTACCATCACATTCACCCTGACCTGTCTTCACATTCTGACCCCACCCTCAAGTTTCAGAGACCCTAATGTCCTAGGGAATGGAATTTCCTGGTCACATCTCGTCATCATTGGTCATTTCATGCCAAGTCCCACACACACACTTTCCCTCCACCCAGCTCTGGTCAGGTCCCTGGAAAAGAAACAGAAATGGCCTTGTTCTCTGCACTGCCCCTTTCCCTCTCTCCTCCTCCCCCTCTCCTCTCCTCTTCCCTCCCAGCACTATCCACCTCTGTCCCTCAGCTTTGAGCAGGGCAGGAGATGTTGAGGGAGAGTCCAGTCACTGTACAGCCTGCCTGCTGGTGTTGGGGGTTTCCTCTAATTCTTCATTTTCCCCCAACCCTTACCACCTGCCACTACCACCATAAGGATAAACCCTATGACTGACTCACTGACGTCCCACTGACCACAGCTCTCCTCTCTGGACAGCTGTGTTTTAGCTTCCGCTCCTTCTGGTTACTCCTCCCTTCCATTGGTGAGAAGGGAAGTAAGAGAAAGCCTAGCCTCCTGGGTTCTCCCTTCCCCTAGACGCTGCATTTGAGTGTTTGTGTGATCTCATCTCAAGGCTGTTAAAAAACCTCTCTTTATGTGTGTGTGTGTGTGTTGTTTTTTTTTTTTTGTATTTGAGACAGGGTCTTGCCCCATCACCTAGGCTGGAGTGCAGTGGTGCAAACATGGCTCACTGTAGCCTCCAACTCTTGGGCTCAAGTGATCCTCCTGCCTCAGCCTCCCCAGTACCTGGGATGACAGGCGCATGCTACTACAACCTGCTATCTTGTTTTTTTGTTTTGTTTTGTTTTGTTTTTTTGAGGTGGAGTTTCGCTCTTGTTGCCCAGGCTGGAGTGCAATGGCGCGATCTTGGCTCACTGCGACCTCCGGTTCCAGCGATTCTCCTGCCTCAGCCTTCCAAGTAGCTGGGATTACATGCATGCGCCACCACACCCAGCTAATCTTTTGTATTTTTAGCAGAGATGAGGTTTCACCATGTTGGCCATGCTGGTCTCAAACTCCTGACCTCAGGTGATCCGCCCGCCTTGGCCTCCCAAAGTGCTGGGATTATGGGCGTGAGCCACCACGCCCGGCCTGTCTCTTGTTTTTAAATCAGTCTGGGGTGCCAAAGCATCAGTGTTCCTGGCCTGGAAGAAAGGGAGATTCCTGTTCATGTTAAAGTGTCGTATTTATGAAACTCCCCTTTTTGGAATCTTTGAGGTTGTCTGTACTATAGGACTGGGGAAATGCAAGTGAGTCTAAGAAGAAACCCAGATGTGTCCTACCCTGGCTGGCAGTAGTGAGAAGGGAGGAAGTTCTTCCCTGGACACTAGTACTATTGGAAAGTTCCTTGTGTCTGGTTGACTGACGAAGCTTGAGGATGGAATTGGTGAGGAGGGAGGGGAGAACAGGTCACAGCTGGAGGGGAGCCTGGGCCCTATAGGGTGTGAGGCAGAGCAGAGTGGCAGATAGGACATGTGGACGGTGGGGAAAATATTCCTCATGGGACAGAAGATACCTGGCACATGTACCCACAACCTGTACACAGATGATCTGTACTGGACACACGTGGAGATATGGCCATGCCACACATGTGCAAACAGAGGTGTACACACAGGAGTGCAGTGATACAGGACACAGATAAACAGAATGCACACAGCCTTCAGGAAGGATCTCAAGGTCAGGTAATAAAGGAACTGCTAACTGGCTTCTGGGAGGGATTGGATTTCACTGGAGGGAAATCAGGAGGAACAGGGCAGCAGAGGGGGAAAACATTTCTCATTGTAGAAAGTCTTTCCTGAGGGCCAACCTGTCAGTCTCCTAGGACCTCAGTGGTCCAGGGCTCCCCTGTTCTTAAAGAAACTCTAGTTGATGGGTGCAGCACAGCAACATGGCACAAGTATACATATGTAACAAACCTGCACGTTGTGCACATGTACCCTACAACTTAAAGTATAATAATAATAAATAAATTTAAAAAATAAATAAAAAATAAATAAATAAATAAATAAATAAAAAGAAACTCTAGCATTCAGGGCAAGGTAAGAAAAAAGGCAGGGACAGGGTGGAGACCTTGTTTGTGAGAACAAAAAACCACTATTTCCTCTTCAGAGTCACTTAAATGCCCCTCCCCTTCTGCCCTAAACTCAGAGAGAAGGGAGCTGGAGCTTCTAGCACCCCAAACTTTGCTAATTTCTGCCACTGTCCTTTGGTCCTCGCCCATCCTTTTAACTCTAAGTGCTTCTAGCCCCCTTCCTCTCCCTTGGTACCACCAGCCACTGCTCCTTAACCCCTTGGTGGCCTTTTGGTTCTGTTCCTTTATCTTAAGAGTCAAACTGAGGTTTGTAGTGTTTGGGAACGAGTGTTTGTGTACAGGTCTCAGGCCTCTCAGGGAGGACTGAGAAGATATAGGCTCATCAGGAGGTTTCTCAAGGATTGGGGGAGGGGGAGATTTCTCATTGATCTTTCTTTTTACTTTCTTCTAATCCAGGGTTCCAAGTCTGAGGAAGACATAACCTTGTGCCTGCCTGCCCACCTCTCTCTCTGGTCCTGTTCATCTCTCAGGCTCTGAGACACTGACCTTCACTGCTCAGTTAAGGGTTCCAGGGATTCTACTTTCTCTGGACCCATCCAGCTGAGTGAACCCAGGGTATTGTTATATCTGGGGAGAGTGAGGAGTGGGTTGTCCAAACACCAGAGCAAGAGCCCTTTGGGGCCTCAGACAGAGGAGTGAAGCTGGAACCATCAGGGAACATGAGTGAATTTTGGCACAAACTGGGCTGCTGTGTGGTAGAGAAACCCCAGCCGGTGAGTCTCCCCACCCCCATCCTAACCCAAAGAGCAGTCAATTACCATGTGCTGTGAGGTAGCCACACCATCTAGGATCTGCCATCTAAAAAGCACACTTCTTGCCTCCCTCTGTGTCAGGAGCTTCTATAGTCAAGCAGCTGTGTATGTGGAATAAAGGGCATTGGGTGATGGAAGAAGTGAATAGTCCTAGCTATTACCTCCTGTTCCTGTCCATTCTGAGCTGGGCGGGGTTTGTAGGTGGAGCTGCATACCTGTCAGTTTTCCCCATTATTTCGTCATCAGTCAGAGGTGACTTTGACGTGTCCTTTCTTCGTCCGGTGTTCACTCTACAGGCCACTGCCCTCACTACTCTGGTTCATGTCTTCTGTGTGCTTTTGTTGTTCCAGCTTTGCCTTTCATGCCCTAGTGGTTTCCCTGTTACAATGCCACATCCCCTCTTCCCACCAGGCCCTTAGCTTTTTAGTGGTTTTGAAGACTCTTTTCCCTTCCTCCACTCTGACTGGAGGAGGGGCCTTAAGACATGACTCCTTATCTTCTCCAAGCAGAAGAAGAAGAGAAGACGGATTGACCGGACCATGATTGGGGAACCAATGAATTTTGTCCACCTGACTCACATTGGCTCTGGGGAGATGGGGGCCGGAGATGGACTTGCCATGGTAACAAGGAAATGGGGAGAGGTTGATACGGGGGTGAGGTCTATAACCGTTCCTTCTTTTTGAAAGTTCAAGCTAGGGACATATGAAAATACTCAATGGGGAAGTAAAAACCTGGGATTCTAGTCCTGGTCACAAGTTGTGGAAACCTGAGACCTGGCATTTTAGGTGTCTGGGCCTAGGTTCTCTCATCTTTACAACTTAGCAGATTGTTCTTCACTGGGGTAGGGGGTATATATATCTTAATAGTTGGAGGGCTTTTTCCAAAAAGCTTATAATCCTCCCTTCTCCTAATTAAGAGCTGCTATCTCAGTGTCAGAGTAAATCATATATTTAAGAGTGTTGGGACAGGAAAAAAGCTGAGCACTGTCATCCTAAATAATGTCTAAGATGCACTTCTGTTCCCAAAATAAGGGAAATGGGTCTAAAGATAGTCTTTTCCCAGATCCTGAAACTCAGGTATATAGGGGAGAATCCATTGTGAGGGAATATTAGTAAAAGACCCATTTTACCTCATCCTCATGAAGGCCAGTGTGAAAAGAGGCATTGAGACTCCCCTAGGAGGAATGGCGGTTAGTAGACGGCTGCTATTGTCAAGGAGATGGCATCAACCTTTTCCTTGGAGGGCACAAAGTAGAGTACTTACTGTAGGATATGAAGACTTAGGAAGGTGTCTCACATCTGTTTTTTCACAGACAGGTGCAGTTCAGGAGCAGATGAGATCCAAGGGAAACCGAGATAGGCCATGGAGCAATTCTAGGGGCTTATAGCTCCAATAATGGAACGGTGAGTGATTAGAGAAACCCACCCTACACCTCAGCCCCCATAACAACACAACCTGATACCCTGACTCAGAACCCTGATCTCATGCAAGAAAGAAAGGTGTGGTCAGGCGTGGTGGCTCATGCCTATAATCCCAGCACTTTGGGAGGCTGAGGTGGGTGGATCACTTGAGGCTAGGAGTTCAAGACCAGCCTGGCCAATGAGGCAAAACCCCATCTCTACCAAAAAATACAAAAATTAGCCGGGCACAGTGGCATGCTCTTGTAGTCCCATCTACCTGGGAGGCTGAGGCATGAGAATCGCTTGAACCCGGGAGGTGGAGGTTACAGTGAGCCTAGATCGTGCCACTGCACTCCAGCCTGGGCAACACAGCGAGATTGTCTCAAAAAAAAAAAAAAAAAAAAAAAAGCGTAGGATATAGAAAGACTGAGAGGGTGTTGTGCAGATAGAAGTAAAGAACACACTGTGGAAACAGCTTAGAGTCTGCACTAGGTAGTGCCTTCTTCCTAAAGCCTTGGTTTTCTTTGAGGCTAATCTTTAAGAAAAAAAATTTTTTTTTTTAAATTTCAGGTTCTGCCATCTTGAAACCCCCATTCTGTTTCCAGCCCAGAAGAAATGCTGCCCCTACCAGATCCCTCCTTGAACCAGTGATCTAAGGACCCCTCTTTTCCCTATCTGCCTAACAGTGCCTCACAAGGCTTGGGGGCTGGACTCCCTCTACTCCCTCTGGCTATAGCCCCTCCTGGAGATGGGGTCAAGGCAGCAGGACTGACCAAGTGACTACTGGTTAGCCAGAGGAGCTCAGCTGAAGCCCTGGACACCTTCAGATCTGAGATAGGAGTTCTCTAGGAACCTGGAATGAGTTCCTGTCTCCTGAATGATGGTCTGGGTGCCACCTGTTTTTAAACTCTTAACCTGGAACTCCTTAAATGGGGTAGGTGGGTGAGATTATCAAAGCTGAAGCTGGCTTTACTGAGAAGCTCCCTACCTCCCTGCCGTTCTTCCTCCTGAACGAACTAAAGCAGATGTCAAACGGGCTGGTGGGGGTGCCTCCTCCCTTTTCCACTCTTCAGATTTCAAACTTTAGGCTCACAGCCCCTCAATATCTCTCTGCTAATACCAGTGTCTCTCTCTAGTTAGGCCTCTAATCAATCCTCTGTTTCTGTTTACCAGCTTCCCAGCAACTTTCCTCTTTTAAAATATTAAAAATTTAATTCAGGTTCTCTTAATTATCCCCATCCTGCTGTTGCCTCCACCCTTAACTCTATCCCTATTAGGAACCTTGTTTCCCACCGAATAAGAGTTAAGGTAAGAGATAGCTTTTCACCTGATGACATTCCATTTAAGTCTTGGGGCATTTTTCCTGCCCTCTGCCAACCTCCCTGGTGGCCCAGGTGAGAGGAGGAAGAGGGGTCTGGAGAGAAACCCAGAATGCAGCACAACTAGGAGTAAGTCCATCTCAAGGTGGACTTCTGATCATTGAGGATGGTGAGATAAATAGGTTGAAAACAATCATCTGTGAGTTTAGGAGTCTTAAGATCCTCACAGCACGGGAGCAGGGAGAGGCTCTAGAACAAGGTTTCACAACCGAGATGCCTTTGACATTTTGGGCTGAAGTGTTCTTGGTAAAGGATACCTGTTTCCTGTTTTGTGCATTACAGGATATTTGGCAGCATCCCTGGCCCACCCTAGTTATGACAACCAAAAATGTCTCTATACATTGCCAAATTTCTCCTAGGGGGCAAAATCGCCTCCATTTGAGAACCACAGCTCTAAAGTCAAGATATTTTTCTCCGAAGTGATTTCTGCTTGGCATGCTACCCTCATCATGTTACTCATCTTAAGCCCGAGCCATGGATGAACTAGGAGCTCGTATAAATGAGGCCCAGCAGGGCTGCACATAATCTCCAAACAATTCTTTATTCAGTGTTTTGCTTGTGCTCGCATGTTGCTGTGATGGACAGGTCCCATGCTCTCCATTCTCGCCCTCTGGAGAAGTGGTTCCTACAGTGTAGATATGAACAGGGTATGGTAGGATTGAGGATGGGGGAGAGAGAAGCAGTAGATACACTCCTTATCCTCCCCAAATTTTAAGCTCTATTTCTGTGCCCTAGTCCTAGAACCAGACACACATTAGACTCAGGGAGTTTTGTCTGAAGACCAGGTCCCACTGCCCCCCACCCCCGGCTGAAGAGTCTGCTTTAGATGGGAAAACAACGTAGGAGCAGGGGTCTTTAGGCACTTTCAGTATTCTCAGGTGTTCTTTGTTCTGGCCCTTCCAGGTAATTAGGAAGGCAGAACAAGACAGATGAGCTCCTGCCTGCTGTGAGACAAGAAGGCTGGGGTCTCATTCGATTTGCAACAGGAAACATCCTGTTTTATGGTAGTGGGGTCAGGAAGGTAGGAACTGGTATCCATTCTGCCAATTCCACCACCCATTCAGTTTGCTTATACCTACAGAGCAGTGACTGAGGTTCTATTTTTTTTTTTTTTTAATTTCCATGTATTTTCTGCCATTTTTCAGGGTCTAAGATTGGTCATACATTCCCAATTTACTCTCAGTTCCAGTCAAGCTGGTTGCTCTGAAAGTAACCCAACTTGTTGCCCTAAAATACCTCAGTAGCCTGAGTGTTATACTAGAGATCTAAAGGGTTAACAGGATAGGATAGAAAGATTAGAGACTCCTGGAAATCTCTGGTTACCATGATCTTCAGCCCCATTTAATACCTGTTCTTTGGACACAGTCTTTTTCCTTTGGTGCTCTCTTGCCTTTAGCTACCTTCTCTAATATGTATGCTACCATCACTAATAAAGTGATGGGAATGGGTTTGAGAGTCATAATTTATATTAAAAAGTTGTTGGACTTTTAAATACATTTTTCAAATAAAAAAATTTAAGCAAAATAGTTGCACAGTAATCACTGCAGGTGTGTGTTGGATTAAAGGATGGATGTGGCTAATGAAGATAACTCCTCCAAAGTGGCCAAGATGGAATTTTGTACCAACATTGCCCTTCTGAGGAGAGAGGGCCAAGTATTATGAAGGCAAGAAGACCAATGTCATCTTTCAAGGGCTCAACTCCTTGTTCTTCCTACTCCCTTTTCTTAGCGTTTATTTGAGATTTTTCAAGCCTGTAAAAGAAGTAGTTGTTTTAAAACAATGTTGGAAATGAGGAAAATGAGCAATATCAACATTTTATCCTGAGGGACAGGGAGTAGGGAATAAGCCAGAGGCTGCTAGTTACACAGTTCAGTCTTAGTGATGAAGAGATTTATGTCTCTCCTCCCTCAGGTACCTCTGTAAAGAAACACAAGACCAAACAATGTATTTTCCAGTTTTGTTTTTCTGTTCTGAAAATATCTAGTGGGTGCTAGGATTGAAAGGGCATGAGAGGTTGAGATGCTGATATCTCCTCATGTGGATGAAGTGGCTATTACCTCCGGTTTCTGTCTATCTGGGTAAGGAAAAAAAAAAGAGAAAAAGGGAAATTACAACCACATCTATATTCTTTCCCTTCCTTGCTTCATCTCCCCCTCCCACAAACCCATATTCCCTCAACCCTATTGCCCACACTTTACTTATTTTTGTATGCAATAATGGTACTGGACACACAAGGAGAAAAACAGAAACAAGCAAAATGACCAAGCATATGCTTTGTTTATCACCTTTCCCTCCTCAAAGTCCTATCATCCATATCAATTGAAACCTTATCAAGTCAATCAGAACCTTTGGTAATTCTGGGTAAAGCAGAGGATTATCCTTCCTTGTCCAGGAAGGACAGTTCTCCCAGATGGTAGTGGTGAAGAGGGTTGGCACTGGTGTCAAACCTGATTTAAATCTCATGGCTCTGCCACTTACTAGCTTTGTAAACCTCAATTTCTTCATCTGAAAAGCGGGGATAATAATACCTCATAGGGTGTGAAGATCGATTCAGGTAAAGTGCACATAGTAAGACCTCAAATTTTTGCAGTTGTTGCTATTAAGCTGTATTAGGTCAAAACTATTAATTGATTAAGATCCTCCATATCTGTTAATTATCTGTGCATCAAAAAGTCTTTATGGGCTGGGCATGGTGGCTCATGTCTGTAATCCCAGAATTCTGGAAGGCCAAGGTGGGCAGATCCCTTGAGCTCAGGAGTTGGAGACCAGCCTGGGCAACATAGTGAGATCTTGTTAGCCAGGCGTGGTGCAAGTCTATAGTTCCAGCTACTCAGCAGGCTAAAGTGGGAGGATTGCGTGAGCTCAGAAGATAGAGGCTGCAGTGAGTTGTGATTGCACCACCACACTCCAGCCTGAGTGATGAGAGTGAGACCCTGTCTTGAAAAAAAAAAGTCTTATGGCCAGGGGCACAGTAGCTCCTGCCTGTAATCCCAGCACTTTGGAAGGCTGAGGCAGGAGAATTGCTTGAGCCCAGGAGTTCAAGACCATCCTGGGCAATATAGCGAGACTTTGTAAAAAAGAAAGAATTTCCAGGGCTAGGCTCAGTGGCTCATGCCTATAATCCCAGCATTTTGGGAGGCCGAGGCAGGTGGATCACTTGAAGTCAGGAGTTCTAGACCAGCCTGGCCAACATGGTAAAACCCCATCTCTACTAAACAAAAACAAAATTAGCTGGGTGTGGTAGTGGGTGAGTGCCTATAATCCCAGCTACTCAAGAGGCTGAGGCAGGAGAATTGCTTGAACCTGGGAGGCAGAGGTTGCAGTGAGCCAAGATCATGCCATTGCACTCCAGCCTTGGCAATAAGAGTGAAACTCTGTCTTAAAAAAAAAAAAAAAGTATTTCCAATCTTAACTATTTGGTCAATAATCACCTAATGAGCAGTAAGACATTTTACCTAATGACCAACCAGTAGTTGCTCAATAAATAATAGGTGGAATCAGCTGGGTGTGGTGGCTCAAGCCTGTAATCCCAGCACTTTGGAAGGCTGAGACGGGCGGATCACGAGGTCGGGAGATGGAGACCATCCTGGCGAACACGGTGAAACCCCGTCTCTACTAAAAAAAATACAGAAAACCAGCTGGGCGAGGTGGCGGGCGCCTGTAATCCCAGCTACTCGGGAGGCTGAGGCAGGAGAATGGCGTAAACCCTAGAGGTGGAGCTTGCAGCGAGCTGAGATCCGGCCACTGCACTCCAGCCTGGGCGACAGAGCGAGACTCCGTCTCAAAAAAAAATAAAATAAATAAAATAAAAGGTGGAATCAATGGCTAACATTGTGAATAACCAATGCATGTTATCAAGCAATAATCAGGTAAGTCAGTAACAGTTCATGTAAGCAACACTGGCTGGCTTAGCAACTGGGTTTTAGATATCAGGACTTTTCAGATCCCTCATCAAAGACTCTGGCTTATCACCAAACACTTACTGGTTGCATCTCTGTGAACACTGAAGAGAGGCTATTCCAAATATCCTCCAGGCCAATCCTGACCTGTTTCCAAAAAGCCAGGGCTGGGCAGGGGCTGGTGGGTGGCAGGCTGGGACTGCTTCTGAGGTGGATGGTGGGGAAGGGGGTAGTGGTGGCCCTGGTACTGGTGGTGCTCTGAGAGGCACAGTTGGTGTCAGTACAGAGACTTGTGTCCAGGGGGCACTCTTCCCGAAGTCGGTTGCAGGGACATTGTTGGTAGGTGCAAGGCTTGTGCTCCGTGCGGAGCTGGCTCAGCGCCCCAACTCGAAGGCGCCCGGAAAGGCCGTGCAGCTTCCCAGACCGGCTCCGGCTCATGGTGCCCGACTTGCAGTGGCAGTGCCACGGGCCCCAGGGCATCAGCACCAGTCGCAGATCCTCAGGAGGTGGCATGGCTGTAGATGAGGGTGACGGCCACCGGCTCGGGGTAGACCCGGGTGTGGACCACTGGCTCAGGGTGGCCTCCGAGCCTGGCGGGTCCTCAGTAGACCTCCCGGGGGAGTGCGGCAGGCTTGAAGTCATCCTGATTTCAGGCTCCTGACTATTGGCTATAAACCTCGTGCTGGAACTCCCCGCTGTACTGGGAGTCACACTGGGAAGCTCTCTGCTGGTGTTATCCTTTCCGGCATTAATCACAACCCCCTCTTCCGAAGACCCATCCTCCTCGTTAATGGTGGACGACCGGCTAAAGCCAGTGGACACCGTGGCGGCCAAGAGCTCTGCAGCCGCCGGTCCAGCCAGGCGGTCGGCGTCGGCCATGGCATCATTATCGTCCTCTAGGATTATCCTCGTCTTCCGGGGAAAAACAGGCCAGGCGGTGCTCCGGTAGCTGCGGGTCCTGGGGCCCGCAGAGCGTAAACTGATCCTCTGCATTGCGGTCGGAGTCTGGGTCAGGCCTTGGGCCCCCGCCGCCCGGGGACCCAGACTCAGCAGCAGGACCCACAGCAGCGCGCCGGCGGCGGGGACCATGGGGCTGGGCTCTTGGGGTTGGGAGGGAGGCCACTGAGGCAGGCCCTACCTCCTACCTTCGCTCCCTCCCTTCCGCTCTAGACCCACTGGGTCGTTTGAACCGAGGCCCGCGGGGAAGGGGGTGGGGTTCGACGCGCAGGCGCCCGCGCACCGCGCGGGGTGCTCCTAAGGAATCTCTGCGGCAAGAACTCTGCCAGAACCGAAAGGTTTGGGATGCAAGGGGTGGTGAAAGAGTCATTCACTTCTTTGGAGTAGAGCTTAAATGTCTCATCGCAGTTTATTAGTCTCTACAGTTCTTTTTTTTTTTTTTTTTTTTTTTGAGACGGAGTCTCGCTCTGTCGCCCAGGCTGGAGTGCAGTGGCCAGATCTCAGCTCACTGCAAGCTCCGCCTCCCGGGTTTACGCCATTCTTCTGCCTCAGCCTCCCGAGTAGCTGGGACTACAGGGGCCCGCCACCTCGCCCGGCTAGTTTTTTGTATTTATTAGTAGAGACAGGTTTCACCGTGTTAGCCAGGATGGTCTCGATCTCCTGACCTCGTGATCCACCCGTCTCGGCCTCCCAAAGTGCTGGGATTACAGGCTTGAGCCACCGCGCCCGGCCCCCGTCTCTACAGTTCTAAATTTACTAAAGAGCGCAAAATACAGGTTTTGAAAGCACTCCTTCCCAGGCTCACAGGCAGCAGACATGACTTACAAGGAAAAAGGGCATACAGGGGTTCTTCAAGATTTAATAAGCTGACACTCCTGGCTCCCAGCAGGCAGGCTGGCTGTCAGGTAAGCCTCTTCCATCCAAGGTGGAAGGATCACAGCCCCTCCACTTAGAGAGGAGGAAAATGAGGACCCAAAAAGATGATTTGCCCAAGGTTCTACAGCTAAAGTAGGATTAAAACCCAGAGCTCTGGCCGGGCGCAGTGGCTCACACCTGTAATCTCTGCACTTTGGGAGGCTGAGGCGGGCAGATCACGAGGTCAAGAGATCAAGACCATCCTGGCCAACAAGGTGAAACCCTGTCTGTACTAAAAATACAAAAAAATTAGTTGGGCGTGGTGTGTGCCTGTAGTCTCAGCTACTTGGGATGCTGAGGCAGAAGAATGGCTCGAACCAGGAGATAGAGGTTGCAGTGAGCCGAGATGGTGCCACTGCACTCCAGCTTGGCCACAGAGCCAGACTCCGTCTCAAAAAACAAAACAACCCCAGAGCTCTGCATATCCCATACAAAATGACCCTACATTCAGCCTGCCGCCCCAACAACTGGAATGAAAGTCACCCAGCAGACCAGCTTCCCAGTCTCAAAGCCCTGCTGAAGGCAGGGTCATGCAAAGGACAAAATCCCACTGAGAAGTGAAGATCCAGTGGTACTGAGGTTGGAGATAAGATGATTTACAAAACAGCTCAGATGTTTCAGGGATTCGGGTGTAGGCAGATCACTAACTGGTTCTAAGGCCTTTTATCCAGTCCTGTGTTAGGTCCCTCCTGAGCCATGGAGATCCCGGTCCAGCCTAGGAGAGGGAGGGGAGACGAGAGGAGAGAAGAGGTTCAGGGGCAGGACTTGGGTTTTACTTTCTGGTTTGGGGAGACAAGCCAGGTGAACTGGAAGAGCTAGATGATTGGGTTGAGTCATCATTTAGCACTTTTGCTCCCTAATACCCTCTCCCGCACTGGATATCATCTGTTCACTTCCAACACATCTCTTCCTAATTTCTAGGGCCAGTCTGAATCTCCTCTGCACTGTGATTATTCCTTTATTCCTTATTGCCTCTGCACTTATATATATAGGTTTTTTTTCATTTATTCTTGTTGGATGCAATAGTGTCCTTCATTTCTTCTCTGGGGGTGTGCAGTTTCCCCATATATATTAAAGCACCCGAAAGCAGGGCCTCTGTCTTTTCGTTCTTTTGTATGTCCCCCAAGGCATTAAAAAAGTAGGGATTGGCTTTACACATCCCACCCCCAAAGCTTTATCCTTAAGTGTGAAACTCACTGTCTGACAGCTTCAGGGATGTGGACTTGATCCAGGGATATGAGTTGCGCCAGCTCCCCCAGGCTGTCCAGAAAACGGATTTTTCGTGTGAATTTGGAACTGAAAAGAGAGAATAAACCAACTGTGTTTTGTATTGGGAGAAGGGTTCCCAAAAATCCTTGCAAAGAAAAATGTAGAAGTAGAGTGGTTAAGGCTAGAAAGAATCAAGGTGGAGAAAGATCTTAATCTTGATTTTGAAAATGGGGGGAAGGAGAAGGGAGTCCTTGTTCCTAGAACTAGTACCTGATGAAGGGCCGAAGCAGTGCCAGAAATGCCTTCACATACCATGTAGCATGGACAACCACCAGGGCTCGCAGGTTTTTCCGTAGCCTGAAAAACAACAGGAGATCATCCTATTTCTTCTTCCACCTTTATGTGTGAAGATCAAGTGGAACTGTTTTCTGTACTGTAACTTCCTTCACTTCTCTAGTTTCTAGATTTATCTGGTACTTGGGTCTAATCCCCATTCCGTCAGCTGTAATCTCAGCTCCGCCCATCTTATTTAGCCCACCATGATCCTCATTTTTAAAAAACTCTCCTTTCAGATTTTTTTTTTTTTTTTTTTTGAGACGGAATCTCGCTCTGTCGTCAGGCTGGAGTGCAGTGGTGCGATCTCAGCTCACTGCAACCCTCCACCTTCCGGTTTCAATCAATTCTTCTGCCTCAGCCTCCCAAGAAGCTGGGATTATAGGCACATGCCACCATGCCCAGCTAATTTTTATATATTTTTAGTAGAGATGGTGACTTGTCACCATGTTGGCCAGGCTGGTCTTGAACTCCTCACCTTGTGATCCGCCCACCTCGGCCTTCCAAAGTGCTGGGATTACAGACATGAGCCACCGCACCCAGCCACCTGGTCTTTTTCTGCTCCATTTCCCTCTTGTGCCCTACCCTTGCGTAAGTTCCTTTTGCATGCTTTTGCATCGCTCCATGACCAAGATTACTTATAAAACTCTAGGTGGAAGAAGACCAGCAAGGACAAAAAAAGGAAAGGGGGCAAGAAGAGAAAAGTGAGCAAAGGGAGATGGGGGAAACAAAAGGGGAAAAAAAAAATCCTGAGAAGGAAAAGAAGACATAGGGCCAGGGAGTGTCTCACGCCTGTAATCCCAGCACTTTGGGAGGCTGAGGCAGGCAGATCACCTGAGCTCAGGAGTTCAAGACTGGCCTGAGAAACATGGCAAAACCCGTCTCTAACAACAACAACAAAAAATACAAAAATTAGCTAGGCATGGTGGTGGCGCATGCCTGTACTCCCAGCTACTTGGAAGGCTGAGGTGGGAGAGTGGCTTGAGCCAGGGAGGCAGAGGTTCCAGTGAGCCATGATCGCACCAGTGCACTACAGCCTAGTGACAGAGAAGACACATAGGTCAGTGATGAAGGCAGAGAAGAAGATAATGGAGGTATGAAAAGGGAAATAAATAGCAAGACTGAGAGAAGAGAAGAGTGCTTTCTGTGTGCCAGGCAATATGCCACACTAATTTAATTGCTTTTCACAAACACCCAGTGGCAAAAGTATAATCATTGCCATTTTACAGATAAAGAAGCTAAAGTGGCCAGGTGCAGTGGCTCATGCCTATAATCCCAGCACTTTGGGAGGTGGAGGCGGGCAGATCACTTGAGCTCAGGAGTTTGAGACCAGCCTGGGCAAAATGGTGAAACTCCATCTCTACAAAAAATACAAAAGTTAGCCGGGCATGGTGGCCCATGCCTGTAGTCCCAGTTACTTGGGAGGCTGAGGTGGGAGGATCTCTTGAGCCTGGCAGGCAGAGGTGGCAGTGAGCCGAGATCATGCCACTGTACTCCAGTCTGGATGACACAGCCAGCTGAAGCTGAAGCCCAGGGAGGTTAAGTGACTTGTCCAAAGCCATATAGCTAATAAATGGTAATATGGTAATGGCGAGATTTGAAGCTAGATTTCCCTGACTCCAAGAGAGGACAGAAGACAAAAGAGCTGGGAAAGGAACGTGGAAGGACAAAGACAATAGGAAAGGACTAAATGGAAGAAGAAATAATAGAAAGGTGGGAAAAAAAGATGAGATAGACAGTTGTAGCCCTCTCATCCCAGGTCTCACCGCCGATCCAGGGTATGGTAACACTGGCGTATCCAACTCAGAGGTGGAACTTGGGCCCTGCTTGTGCCTCCACTCAAATGAACAAGCAGGTAATTTTCAGCTACTAGCAGCTCCAGAGTTCCCACCATATACCTGGGGGGATGAAATTGCAGGGAAGGTATGTGTTGGGGGTTTCAGGGAGTGAGAGGAACATTACTGTACTCTCCCATCAGCTACTGATCTTTGAAGGAGTTCTTTTTTACTTTTCCCTCCCTAACACTGCCCTGTAGCCCTTCAGGCCTTCCACCTCACCTAAACAAGTGTTCCATGACATAGGTGTAGTTGGGGATGCTGCTTCTAGGTAGATAACAGGAAGCAAAAAGGATGACAGCATTGAGGCCATCACCGTGGTAACCTGGAGAGTATAAAGGGAAAATTCATTTGGTCAACAAATATGTATTGATAGATAGTATATCTGTTTAAGTTGAGGGACTCTGAGGGTCTTTGGAAGTTACAGGATAGATTTTGGATCCAATGACTGAGTCTCCAGCTTAGGCATTTTATTAAGAAGCCATAGCTCTTACCCTTCATTTATGCTAGCCATTACCTCCATGAGACAGGACTTTCTTATAGGGCTCAATGACAGTCATGTCTACGCGCTGCTCCCGTGGTCCGATTCGGAACACCCTCCAGTGACGTCCATCTTCTCCAGCCACATCCCACATACAACCTCGGCCCAGCCTTTCAGCTGCCTCACTGGCACCCAGACCCTCTGCCCGGGGTAGTTCATCTAAAAGAGAGGGATGGGGAAGGATCAGGCAGATTTTCTACCTTCAGTTTTTTGTAACTTCCTCAGATTCCTAGTTTGTTACTCTAATCTGTCATTCCTCAATTTTTTCCTTGATTTTTTTTTTTTTTTTTCCTTTTTTTTGAGACAGAGTCTCACTCTGCCACTCAGGCTGGAGTGCAGTGGTGCAATCTCAGCTCACTGCAACCTCCGCCTCCCAGGCTCAAGTGATCCTCCCACCTCAGCCTCCTGAGTAGCTGGAACCACAGGCACATGCCACCACGTTCAGCTAATTTTTTGGTAGAGATGGGGTTGTACCATGTTGCCCAGGTTGGTCTCAAATTCCTGAGCTCAAGCGATCTACCTACCTTGGCCTCCCAAAGTGCTGGGATTACAGGCGTGAGTCACTGCATCTGGCCTTTTCCTTGACTCTTTAGCCCTGTTTTGTCCCATCAACCCAGTATCTTGCTGGTTTCTTTCTCCTGTGACTCACTATCCTCACCTTTTAACTAGATGATGGACTTAGGATGACCTTGCACTATGACCCTTAGCAGTATCAGGTATTTTTTGAGATTCTTTTCTTTTCTTTCCTTTTTTTTTTTGAGACAGTGTCTCATTCTGTCGCCCAGGCTGGAGTGCAGTGGCGCAATCTTGGCTCACTGCAAACTCCGCCTCCTGGTTCATGCCATTCTGCTGCCTCAGCCTCCCGAGTAGCTGGGACTACAGGCACCTGCCACCACGCCCAGCTAATTTTTTTTTTGTATTTTAGTAGAGACGGGGTTTCACTGTGTTAGCCAGGATGGTCTCAATCTCCTGACCTCGTGATCCACCCGCCTCGGCCTCCCAAAGTGCTGGGATTATAGGCATGAGCCACTGAGCCTGGCTGAGATTCTTTCTTTCTTTAAATGATTTTCCCTAGATGAGCTCATCTAGTCCCATGTCTTCAGTTCCACCAGTAAGGAAATGATGTCTGTAATCCCAAATTTGCCTCTCTAACCCAGGCTGCTTTTTTTTTTTTTTTTTTTTTTTTTTTTGAGACAGAGTCTTACTCTGTAGCCCACGCTGGAGTGCAGTGACACAATCTCAGCTCACTGCAACCTCCACTTCCTGGGCTCAAGCGATTCTCTAGCCTCAGGCTCCTGTGTAGCTGGGACCACAGGCATGCACCACCATGCCCAGCTAATTTTTGTATTTTCTGTAGAAACAGGGTTTTTCCATGTTGCCTAGGCTGGTCTTGAACTCCTGAGTTCAAAGCAATCAGCCCACCTTGGCCTCCCAAAGTGCTGGGATTACAGGCATGAGCTACCACACCCAGCCTCTAACCCAGGCTTCTGTTCTAACTCTAGCCATATCCCTAAATGCCTAGAGTGTACATCTTCACTTGGTGTCTCCTTGTCATCAACAAATCACCAGATTCAAAAGGGAACTCAAGGCTGTGCTCAGTGGCTCGTGCCTGTAATCCCAGCACTTTGGGAGGCCAAGGCAGGAAGACTGCTTGAAGCCAGAAGTTTGAGACCAGCCTGGGCAACAAAGTGAGACCTCATCTTTACAAAAAATTTTAAAAAATAATAAAATTACAAATTACAAAACAATAACAACAACAAAAAAATGGAACTCAAAATCATTCTCTTCTGCTTTGGGGGGCCAAGGTGGGAGGATCACTTGTGCCCAGGAATTCAAGGCTTCAGTGGGCTATGATCATACCACTGCACTCTAGCCTGGGTGACAGAGTAAGACTTTGTCTCTAAAAAAATACTAATAATACAGCCTGGGCAACAAGAGCGAGACTGTCTCAAAAATAATAATAATAATAATAATAAATCAATCATTCTTCTTATTCTCCCTCATATTTCCTATTTCCTTTTTTTTTTTTTTTTTTTTGAGATGGAGTCTTGCTCTGTTGCCCAGGCTGGAGTGCAGTGGTGCGATCTTGGCTCACTGCAACCTCCACCTCCCAGGTTCAAGTGATTCACCTGCCCAGCTATTCTCCTGAGTAGCTGGGACTACAGGTGCACGCCACCCCAGCTAACACATTTTTTGTATTTTTAGTAGAGACAAGGTTTTGCCTTGTTGGCCAGGCTTGTCTCGAACTCCTGACCTCAGGTGATCCGCCTGCCTTGGCCTCTCAAAGTGCTAGGATTACAGGCATGAACCACCGTGCCCGGCCATATTTTCTATATTGATGAATGACTCAATCCATCTAGCTGCCTGAATGAGAAAACTGTATTTTTATTATTATTGTTGTTGTTGTTTTCTTTTAGAGACAGGGACTCACTCTGCTACCCAAGCTGGAGTACAGTGGCTCGACCTTTGCTCACTGCAGCTTTGACCTCCTGGGCTCAAGTGATACTCCCACCCCAGCTTCCCAAGCAGCTAGGGCTATGGGTACACATCAGCACACCTGGCTAGTGAGAAAACTGCATGTCATGTGAAACTCTTTCTTCTCTATCAGCCCTGAAATCAACTGGACTCCAGATTGTCTTCCATCTATCTCTATGATATTCTTTCATCATCCTTTCCATACTGCTATCCTGGTTTGTGTTCTTAGTATTTCTCACCTGGCCTTGGTACTAGCCTCCTGACTGCTTTCCCTGCCTCTACTCTGTTTTTTTCCAATCCACTCTCTATACCACTGCTAGAGCAAGTTTTCCTGTCTTCTCTACCTTTTTTTTTTTTGAGACAGGGTCTCACTCTGTCTTCTAGGCTGGAGTGGAGTGGCAAGATCTTGGCTTACTGCAACTTCGACTTCCCAGGCTCAGGTGATCCTCCCACCTCAGCCTCCCGAGTAGCTGGGACTACAGATGTGTGCCACAAAGCCCGGCCAATTAAAAAAAAATTTTTTTTTCGTAGAAATAGGGTTTCACTTTGTTGCCCAGGTTGGTCCCAACTTCTGGGCTCAGGTGATCTGCCCTCCTCAGCCTCCCAAAGTGTTGGGATTACAGGTGTGAGCCACTGCACCCAGCCTCTTTAGCTTTTTATTCAAATGATAATATATTATACCCACCATTCTGCATTATCTTTCCATAGCAAGAAAGAGCTGCCTTTTTTTTTTTTTTTTTTTTTTTTGATGGGGTTTTTTTTTTTTCGCCCAGGCTGGAGTACAATGGCGCGATCTTGGCTCACCGCAACCTCTGCCTCTCGGGTTCAAGCGATTCTCCTGCCTCAGCCTCCCGAGTAGGTGGGATTACAGGTGTGTGCCACCATGCCCAGCTAATTTTGTATTTTTAGTAGAGATGGGGTTTCTCCATGTTGGTCAGGCTGGTCTCAAACTCCTGACCGCAGGTGATCCAACCGCCTCAGCCTACCAAAGTGCTGGGATTACAGGCATGAGCCACTGCTCCCGGCCTAAGAACTGCTTCATTTTAAAAAATAGTTGCATAGCCAGGCACAGGGGCTAAGGCCCATAATCCCAACACTTCGGGAGACTGAGGCAGGAGGATTGCTTGAGGCCAGGAGTTCAAGACCAGCCTGGGCAACGTAGCAAGACCCTGTCTCTACAAAAATATATAAAAATCAGCCAGGTGTGGTGGCATGTGCCTATAGTCCCAGATACTTGGGTGGCTGAGGCAGGAGGATTGCTTGAGCCTAGGAGGTTGAGGCTGCAGTGAGCCAAGATCGTGCATTGCACTCCAGACTGGGCAACAGAGTAAGACTGTCTCAAAAACAAAATGTTGCCTAGTATTTAGTATTCCACTGGATGGATGCACCATAACATACGTAATATCTTACTGCTGGATCTTTAGGTTGTTTCCAATCTTTTCAGAGTCATTAAATTTGATCATGTTACTCCTTTCATTAAAACCTTACTGGGCCAGGCATGTGGCTCACACCTGTAATCCCAGCACATTGGGAGGCCAAGGCAGGCAGATCACATGAGGCCAGGAGCTCAAGATCAGCCTGGCCAACATGGTGAAACCCCATCTCTACTAAAAATATAAAAATTAGCCAGATGTGGTAGTGCATGTCTGTAATCCCAGCTACTCAGGAGGCTGAGGAACAAGAATCACTTGAACCCGGGAAGCAGAGGTTGCAGTGAGCCTATATTGCACCACTTTACTCCAGCCTGGGCAACAGGGCAAGACTCTGTATCAAAAACAAAAAACAAAAAAACTTATCATGACTCCCTATTGTCTACAAGATAAAACCTAAACTCCTTAGCATGGCAGCAAGGGCCTCCATGATGTGACCTTTGTCTACTTAACCCAGCAGCACTATCTTTTGTCATTCTCTCTTCACCTCCCAGCCCTTCATATTAAAATAGTCATGCTCATACTTTGAATTCCCCAACATGCCATGCTATTGCTTGAGTTGCTTCTGCTTCTTTTCCTTAGAATGCCCCCTCTCCAACTACCTGATAAATGTCAGCTTCAGCTTTCAACACTTAGCTCAGAATCATCTCCTTCATGAAGCCTTTCCTAACATCTCTCAGGTAGAACTGACTTTTCCTTCTCTCTGTCTACACTGTACCCTACACATGTATAGATCATAACCTTTAACTGCATTTTTTTTTTTTTTTTGAGATGGAGTCTTGCTCTGTCGCCCAGGCTGGAGTGCAATGGCACCATCTCGGCTCACTGCAGGCTCCACTCCTGAGTTCATGCCATTCTCCTGCCTCAGCCTCCTGAGTAGCTGGGACTACCAGCTCCCGCCACCACACCCAGCTAATTTTTTGTATTTTTCGTAGAGACAGGGTTTCACCATGTTAGCCAGGATGGTCTCGATCTCCTGATCTCGTGATCCACCCGCCTCGGCCTCCCAAAGTGCTGGGATTACAAGCCACCGCACCCGGCTCCTGCAATTATTTTTATATATGTTTGTTTCCTACTAAGCAGGGAATTACCTGTAGGGCCTCTCTTTATAACCCCAGTCCTATACATGATAGTATATAACAGGCATTCTATTAAATTTTCCTTAATAAACAAAGGGCTCCCCTCCCCCTCTACTGACTACTCTCACATTGGACCTATAAGCCCTACTGTTCCATTTGAGGAAACTAATTTTGCTGGCTGCAGCCCTTGGTCCCACCTTATTAGTTCTAACTGCAATCCCATTAAGTCCATCCTGATCCTTTAGCTCTAGCCTCTACTTCTACCAGCTGAGTCCTCTGGTTTGTTTCCCACCTTCCCATTCAAATTCATGTCCACTGTCCAGCTGCTCCGAGTCTGAAGGTGTCTCCAATTCGTCTACCTCCAGGTCAGAACTGCCATCAGGAGAGGAAGGTGTAGACTGGGTGGGCGAAGCTCCATCATTTCCAGGCCCCTTAGTCAGACTCAGCCGCAACTCTGGGGCAGAAAGACGCTTGCGCATGGGGCGCTGGCCACACAGGGCTAAAGTGCTGGGGGTACCTGCAGTTGGAGAAAGGGGGAGAAAGAGAACCAAGACAGGTGTGTGCGTTGGAGGGCCGAGAGGGCTAGAATTCCTGTATGTGAAAGTGATAATATGGGGTGAACGCTGAAGAAGGACTGATGCAGCGGAGATTTGGGGAAGGGGAAAATGGAACTGTAAAAGGATAGAGGTGGTATAGCCCTTTACTGGACTGGAATCAAGAACTTGAGGCCTGGTTTCTACTTGACCTACCTGCCTGTGAATCTCCTTTAGGGTCTCCAGGATTTTCAGAAGGGTCAACCTCCTCAGGAAGCAATCTAGAGGGGAAGAGATTAAAAGGCGGCAGAGATATACACCAAAGGCATCAAGCCAGGACTCAATATATAGGTTCTCTCTCCCCACCGTGATTTTATCACCTATGCTTTCTTTTTTTTTAATTGTTTTTTGAGACAGGGTCTCACTCTGTTGCCCAGGCTGGAATGCAGTGTCACAATCATAGCTTACTGCAGCCTCTACCTCCAGAGCTCAAGCAATCCTCCCACCTCAGCCTCCCGAGTAGCTGGGACTACAGGTATGCACCACCACACCTGGCTAAATTTTATATTTTTGTAGAGATGGGGTTATGCCATGTTGCTCAGAGAAGTCTTGAACTTCTGAGCTCAAGTGATCCACCTGCCTCGGCCACCCAAAGTGCTGGGATCACGGCCATGAGCTGCTGCGCCATCCCCTCCATCCATTCGTGACCATCCCTCCCTTCTCCCAGCCGCCCTCACACATCCTCACCTAGGGAATTCTTCATCCTGCCATTCCTCCTTCAGCTCCAATTCCCCATGTCTCAGGGCTGCTTCTAGTTCTGGGGCTTCGGCAATCTCCCTGACCCTGACAGCCCCCCAAGAAGAAAAGATTAAGGGAATTGAATAGTAGGTAAGAATAACTGAAATGAAGAACAGTAATTGAGATACAGAGCAGAGGGCAGGCCTTCAAAAGAACTTAGATCTCTTGCCTCCTATACAGATGTTTCTCTTACCTTCACCACTTGCTAGAAGTAGATTACCTGCTTGTTGGGTTTGAAAGCAGAAGAAAGATGGAATGTAAAGTTAATCATATTTACCTCTATAGCAATTGCTCCACCTACGAAGTTGGGGTTAGAGATATCCCACATTACAATGGGGTGGAACCCAGCTAGACCCACCCAGCTATCACTGAGCGAAGTCAGGAAGACGGCACCTAGTCAGGCCTGCCTTTCCTCCACCCATCTGGGGAGTGGCTAAGGGAAAACATGGCATAGGTGGAGGGGTGGAGGAAGAAGGTAAGGAGAAAGATTTGCCACAACGAGAACCTGGACCTAAACTCAGTTCTGGTTCAGCTTTCCTAATGGCCATTCTGGAGGGTGAGGGTTAGAAAATAAAGAACACAGGCAGATTTATCAGATACAACATATTATAGAAACTTCCTTTATTTTTAAACCAGGGAATTATCCTGGAATCCCCTGTTCCCCAGATCCATACCATACTGACATTTCCTACCTACAACCACCCTCATCCCTTCTCTGCAAATTCTCTTACAGTCTTGTCTCCTTGAGGAACCCGAGATTTGACCCAGTAAGAGCTGGGTGGTGGGGAAGTCTCTCAGGACTATTTATTCCCTGTTACCAATCAAGTGAGCCAAGATCTTACTTACCCAACATCTGTCTTTTTTCCTGCCTCTTGTATAGTTCCCATCTTCACAAGTCTTCCTGCCTCCTTCTTTAAACACCTAGGAGTTGTTGGGGAGCTGGTTGTCCCAGCCCCCAACACTTCTTTACCTCTTTTCTGTCTCAGCTGTTGTAGTTCTTGCCTCCAAGGAGGGAGGTGTGGAGGGGAGGTAACCTCATCTTCAAACAGGTTTTGCCACCTCCTCTCCCCAGGAGCAGGTTTGCCCAAAAGAAAAACCCTGCCTCCTGTGAGGGGGCGGATTTTGGGGAGGAGAGTGCATTTTCTAGGGGGGGCCAGTCTTGGGTGAGTCTAGGAAAGCAATTGTTCTCCTTTCCAGACGCCATATATCCCTCTCAAAGTTGCACTTTACACAAACAAGCAAAAAACCAGTAGGAACCGTTGTGTTTCTGGCTAGGTGTGGTGGCTCACGCCTGTCATCCCAACACTTCAGGAGGCTGAGGCGGGTGGATCACCTGAGGTCAGGAGTTTGAGACCAGCCTGACCAACATGGAGAAACCCCGTCTCTACTAGAAATTAAAAAAAAAAAAAAAAAAAAATTATCCAGGCGTGGTGGCGCATGCCTGCAATCCCAGCTGCTTGGAAGGCTGAGGCAGAAGAATCACTTGAACCTGGCAGGCAGAGGTTGCAGTGGGCCGAGATTGCGCCATTGCACTGCAGCCAGGGCAACAAGAGCGAAACTCCGTCTCAAAAAAAAAAAAAAAAAAGAAAAAAAGAAAAAAAAAGAAAAAGAAACCATTGTGTGTGTTTCTAAGATTATGTTATCTTGGGTCTACTTTTCAAGCATAAGGAAAACTGGGGAAACGGAAGCATGTTATAAGGAGGTTTCTGGGAGAATAAACAAGTTGAACGGGAGGCTGAGGATGAGGGGAGACAAAAGCCTGTTGCTCCTTATTCCCAAAAAGAGTCAACAGAAAGAAGACATTAAGTATAGTAGGAAGAAGGGAGATGAATTTTGAGGAGACTGAAACAATTATCAGAGAAAGGCCTGAATACACTTATAAAAAAAGACGGTAAGACCCCCAAACAGGAAAAAAGTATTTTTAATACTATAACAAAATGCAAAATAAAGTACCCAAGTTACAAAACATAAATTCCTTTGGTTCATCATCACACCACTATTTTTACCTTCCACATAGCTACAGACATCACACCCTCAAAGTGAAGTCAGACTGTCCCCCTCATACTGAAGATGTCATGCCAAAACCATCACATACCCCACTGTTCAGTGAAACTGTTGGCAGCTTACATGGAACAGAGCTGTGGGGTAGGAAAAAGGGGAAAGGGTTGTGTTAAAAAAAATGGGGAGACTCTACACATGCAGAACAAGTCAGTGAGAGGGAGCTCTCTGCTGGGTCAACACGTCATGAACCACACCCCTATTCATGCTACATGAGGCTGAGTCCTTGCTACAACCACACAGAAATACAGACAATCGAGTGAACCTGAGCACCCCCAGGGATAACAGAAGAAAAATACAGAGAAGCAGAGGAGAGAAAGAATGGCAGCAAGAGGCAAATCACAGAATACCAGGGAACACCTAGTCCAAACCCTGTTTTACAGATGGTGAAAGTGAGACCTGGAGTAGTGAAGTGTCTTGCCAAAATACATAGTCTATGGGAGCATTAGAACTCCATGCTTCCTTTTAATATGAGCAAGGAGAAAAAGAGACTGACAAGAAATTGATAGGCCTGCTAAGGCAGGAGACAGACCCAGGCCTCTCATTCCAGTTATGCTGTCTTTTTGGAAGAGTGCCTGTGAGGTCATTAAGGCCTTTCTAGGTGTTTTCCTGATTCTCAAGAATCAGGGTTCTGGGTGGCTCTGGGACAGAAGGGTTCAAAGAAACAGCCAGGCCACCTGATCAGGACAGAAGACAATGGCCTCTAATCTTCTCCCAAACTAGATCTGAAACAGTCACAATAAGCTCAGAATAGAAATTCAGCGATCTCTGAATCAAATGCCATCACCTAAATGGTGGCAAAAAGAAAAGTCATTGAGCTAGCAATCTGCTGTAGGCTGAACACTGGAATAAGTTTCCAAAGTGCACTCTCTTTTCTCTCTAGCTTGAGGCAGGTATTCAATAAATACTTGAATGAATAAGTGAATAAATGAATACATGGAGACCATCAATGAAAGTTCAGTTCCATGACAGATATTGGTTCTGTTCAAGATCCAAGCTGAGGACACTTTTGGGGACTACATTCTCTTTGTCCCACTGTGCTGGGACTGCAGATGTGTCACATCGCGCCCCTGGCAAATAAAATAGACAGAGGTGCAGATTTAAATAAAATTTGATTGGTAGAGATTAGGGGGAAAAGGTGGAAAGCCATTCTTAAAAGCAGCTGCTTTCACTTTTTTTCTCCTCTCTGTTTTATGAGAACAGTATACCAGATCCTGGAGCAATGAAGACAGAATTGCTGAATCTCCAAACATCTCAAAACATGCATTTGAAGTGAGTCAGGTAGCCTCACCCACTACCTCCTCCCCTCTCAACAGTCATTTCTTGGACAGGGAGGCTGTGGTAGACTGTGACAGTGAGATCTGACTGCACTTCTCGAAGACAGCCTCAGCGGAGAGTTTAGGCAGCCCCTGATCTAGAGGGCACTCATCCACCAAGCTGTTCATGGGCGTGGGGGGCAGCGGAGGGTCCTCCTCATCTTGACTCAGTCCAGAAATCAGGGAGTTACTTGCCCTGTCCAATTCCTTGTCCACCTGCTCCCTGGACACATCCGCTGTCTCAGGCTGTCCTGAAGGGATCTTCATGGAGTCAAAATACACTGACAGGGCTTCCTGGAGCAAGGGCAGAAGTTTCTTCCGAGAGACCTGGGTGTTGCCTTGAAGATAGGCATGGAGGTTAGGGTGGGTGCTTGAGGCAGGGGTCAGCTTCAGGGGTGGAGAGTGGGAGCATTCCAGGACTCCACAGATCTAAAGAGGAGACAATAACAGGGAAATGATACACAACTTGCTGTAGCAAAGTGCTGAGGCTTCTAAGTGAGAGGCTTCCTCTATAGAAGAGGAAGCTTTCAAAAAGTAGGTCGGCAGGGTGTGGTGGTTCACGCCTGTAATCCCAGCACTTTGGGAGGCCGAAGCGGGCGGATCACCTGAGGTCAGGAGTTTGAGACCAGCCTGACCATCATGGAGAAACCCCATCTCTACTAAAAATTCAAAATTAGCCAGGTGTGGTGGCACATGCCTGTAATCCCAGTTACTTGGGAGGCTGAGGCAGGAGAATCGCTTGAACCCGGGAGACAGAGGTTGCAGTGAGCCAAGATGGTGCCATTGCACTCCAGCCTGGGCAACAAGAGTGAAACTCCGTCTCAAAAAAAAAAAAAAGCTGGGCGCAGTGGCTCAAGCCTGTAATCCCAGCACTTTGGGAGGTGGAGACGGGCGGATCACGAGGTCAGGAGTTCGAGACCATCCTGGCTAACACGGTGAAACCCCGTCTCTACTAAAAAAATACAAAAAGCTAGCTGGGCGAGGTGGCTGGCGCCTGTAGTCCCAGCTACTCGGGAGGCGGAGCTTGCAGTGAGCTGAGATCCGGCCACCGCACTCCAGCCCGGGCAACAGGCGAGACTCCATCTCAAAAAAAAAAAAGTAAGTTATCCTTGAGGCCAGGCACAATGGCTCCCGCCTGTAATCCCAGCACTTTGGGAGGCTGAGGTGGGCGGATCACCTGAGGTCAGGAATTCAAAACCAGCCTTGTCAACATGGTAAAACCCTGTCTCTACTAAAAATACAAAAATTAGCCAGACATGATGGTGCACACCTGTAATCCCAGCTACTTGCAAGGCTGAGACAGGAGAATCATTTGAACCTGGGAGGTGGAGGCGACAGTGAGCCGAGATCTCACCATTGCACTCCAGTCTGGGCAATAAAGCAAGACAAAAAAAAAGTAAGTTATCCAGGGTTCGGTTTTATTGTTTGCAACAGAAGGAACACTAATATACACAGTATTTTTTTTTTTTTTTTGAGATGGAGTCTTGCTCTGTCACCCAGGCTGGAGTGCAGTGGTGTGATCTCGGCTCACTGCAACCTCTGCCTCCCTGGTTCAAGTGAATCGCCTGCCTCAGCCTCCTGAGTAGCTGGGATTACAGGCATGTGTCACCAAGCCTGGCTAATGTTTGTATTTTTAGTGGAAACGAGGTTACACCATATTACCCAGACTGGTCTCGAACTTCTGACCTCAGGTGATCCGCTCTCACCTAGGCCTCTCAAAGTGCTAGGATTACAGGTGTGAGCCACCGCGCCCGACCCACAGTATTTTATTTTATCTCATATATATATATATATATTTTTTTTTTTTAAATAGAACAGGGATGGGGTCTTGTTATGTTGCCTAGGCTGGTCTCCAAATCCTGGTCTCAAGCAATCTTTCTGCTTCAGCCTCCCAAAGCGCTGGGATTCATACACAGTGTTTTATTTATTTTATTTTGCTTTAATTTTTTTTTTTTTGAGATGGATTCTTGCTCTGTCACTCAGGCTGGAGTACAGTGGCACAATCTTAGCTCACTGCAACCTTCGCCTCCCAGGTTCAAGCAATTCTCCTGCCTCTGCCTCCCGAGTAGCTGGGATTACAGGTGCCTGCCACCATGCCCAGCTAATTTTTGTATTTTTAGTAGAGACGTGGTTTCACCATATTGGCCAGGCTGGTCTTGAACTCCTGAGCTCAGGTGATCTGCCCAGCTCAGCCTCCCAAAGTGCTGGGATTACAGGCATGAGCTACCATAGCCAGCCACACACGGTACTTTAAAAACAGAGGAAACAGTTTAGATTGTATATTTCATTTTATTATTAAAGTAACTAAAGCTAAGTAAGATGATTATGAGTAAAATCATGTAGATGATAGCAGTTAAACCAGAATCCAGGAACCCCAACTTGTAATCTAGTGTTGTTTCCAAGTGTATAAATGTGCTCAAGAACTTGAACTAGGATGGGACTAGAATTTATCTAGAGGCCAGAAGAGGGATGGAGGAAGAATAAATTGAACAAAATAAGATTGGTATCACTATTACCCTCACTTACATGCAGGGAAACTGAGAATTAGATGATCAGGTAACTTGCCTAAGGTCATAATTTGCATGAAGCGAAACTGACACTAAGCCCAGAGCTGTCACCAAAGCCAGTGTTCTAAATCAATACATTATACTACCCCTAACACAGGAGAAAGAGAGGAGATAGTAGAGTAGACTGTGAGAAAAGGACTCCTGGCTGGGCATAGTGGCCCACACCTGCAGTTCCAGAACTTTGGGAAGCTGAGGCTGGTGGATCACTCGAGTCCAGGAGTTCGAGACCAGCCTGAGCAATGTAGCGAGACTCTGTCCCTACAAAAAATACAAAAAAAATTAGCTGGCCATGATGGTGTGCCTGGAGCCCCAGCTACTTAGGAAGCTGGGAGGATTGCCTGAACCAGGGAAGCAGAGGTTGCAGTAAGCTGAGATCGTGCCATTGCACCACTCCAGCCTGGGCAA